CCTGCGAAGGGGTGCAGCGATGGTGGAGAAATTCCTTACGAACTTCCTATAGTAATTAGCTAGGCCTAAGAACGACCGCAACTCTGTCAGTGTGCGGGGCGTTGGCCAATCTCTAATCGCTGCGATTTTGCTGTCTTCAGGTCTAACGTCGTCTCTGTCTAAGACGTGGCCCAGGTATAAAACCTGTGTCTTGGCCCACTCGCACTTCTTTGCGTTGATCTTGAAGTTAGCCTCTCTAAGCTTCTCCAAGACCTGCCTCAGATGACCCTCATGCTCCTGGAGGGTCTTACTGAACACTAGAATATCATCTAGATATACTACAACAAATCTATCTAAACATGGTCTAAACAAATCGTTCATGCAACGCTGGAAAGTCGTTGGCGCATTGGTTAGTCCAAAGGGCATAACTATAAACTCATAGTGCTCATATCTAGTCCGGAATGCTGTCTTGTACTGATCATCAGGATGAACCTCTATCTGATGATAGCCGGACTTTAAATCTATCTTCGAAAAATACTTGCAGCCTTGCACCCTGTCTAACAAATCGTCTATAAGGGGCAGTGGTTCTGCATTCTTCACTGTGATAGCATTAAGACCCCTATAGTCTATACACATTTGAAGCTCTCCCTCTTTCTTGGGGACAAAGAGAACAGGTGCTCCAAATGGGGACGAACTTGGCCTAATCCAACCCTTCTCAAGGAGCTCGTCCAACTGCTTATGTAGCTCCTCTAACTCCCTTTGGGACATTCTGTAAATCACTCCTTTAGGAGTCCTACTGCCAGGCTCTATCTCTATGCGATGCTGGATCGGTCGTGGCACTACTCCTGTAGGCGGCTTAACTAGGTCTGTATATTCTTCCAGCAGCTTGGCAATAGTAGGGTTTATGGGTGTCTCCTCCTTAGGCTCAATGACTGGCCTTACGTAGGCTACAAAAGCCTGCTCTTCTAATTGCTCCTTCTTCACTAAAGGCGCGAACGCAGGAGCACTGAGGCAGCAATGTGCCAGGGTGTTGTCTACTCCAGACACATGAAATAGGCAAGCAGTCTTAACTTCACCTTTGGGACTAGGGAGCCTACACTCGTGCTTTCTCAAATGGAGTGTGGGCCCTGCTGCCTCTCCCCAGTCCATTCCTCGGACTATATCAAAAGGAAAACTGTTTTCTACGAGGAGAGTCAGGGAGGACTTTCTCCACCTTCTCATCTTTCTCTAGGCGAAAGTACGCCTAGACTCCCTCGACGTAATCCTCTACTCGCATAGTGCGATTGTCTGCGAGGATAATGACTATAGGGTCTTCTAGTTTTTGGACTTTCAGGTTTAGCTTTAGCTTTTGCAGCGCTTTCCTACTGATGTAGTTGTGGGTGGCCCTACTGTCTATAAGGGCCCCAATTCTACCTCTAATAATCTCTACGTCTACTAAAATTAGTTGTCCTTTGGCATCCTTTTTCATCTTGGCCCAGGCAGGCATCCTCTCCTTCAAATCTTCGGCCACACCTGTGAGGGAAGTACCTAGAGGGACTCTTACGCAAGCAGTCTCAGGACAACTGTCCAGGTACTGGCCAGCAACCTTTGTTGTAGGCTCATGTGGTTTGGGAGTTCCTCTATGGTGCGCGCACTCTTCTCCACATGGCCTAGGGGTAAGGGCAGTTGCCACCCCTACCGACGGTTGCCTTTTGCTGCTTGTGCAGCATACCGGGCTTCTCTGTACTTTGGACAATATTTAATAATGTGGCCAGGATCACAGCAGTAAATGCACTGATTCTGGTCCACACGACGCTGCCATACAGTCTGGTCCAAGCCCAGGTCTTCCCATGGCCTGCCCTGTGGCAAGCCAGGGTGCCATTCACCTCTCCTTGGAGGTGACCGGTAAAATTGTGAGCGATTTGGTGGGGGACCTTGACCCCTCTCTCCCTCTTGGCGGTTTCCTCTGCCGCCAACCCCCTGAGCGCCCTGTCCTCAGCCACTTGAGGCCCGACCCCCTTGGCCCTGGCCTCCTCCTCTACCTTGCGGCCTCCCTCCAGCCGCGACAACAGCGTGGGTCCTCCCCTGACCTCCACTACTGTCCTCCTCCTCTAGGCCCCACTCAATCTGACTGTATGGGACCTCGTTCGTACCACCTTCGTCTAACGTAAGGATCAAATTGTCCTTGGCCCTAACCTGGCCAGAGATAGTACAACCCTTCCACTTTTTGCCCTTGTCCAGGTCCTTATGCCAGAAAGTGGAAACTGGCATGGACCGTGCCTCGAACAGCACCACCTCTCTACTCAACGCATCATATGTCATGGTGGGTTGTCGACTCTCTTCTTGAAAAAGTGCACCCGTAGGGGCTCTGGCATGGCACGAAAGAAGAGATTGACCAACTGGGGCTTAGTGAGCTCGTGGTCTGGGATGGCCACAAGCTTGTCCATTACGCCTTTGAGTGCTCTGGCACTCCTCCACTGGTGCAAGTGGATAGTCTGCAGTTTGTCAGAGGCCCTAACGCCTCGCGTAACATTTGTAAATCGCTCCTTAAGGAGCTGAAAGAACTCAGGGAGAGGGGTGACCTTAGAATAAGCGACCATGTTTTTCTCGCACTGCAGCGCGAGCGAGGCACTATGTGCTGTAAATAAACGTACTAGCTTAGCGCCCGCGGTGCGGGCAGTGCGGGCTACGCCCGCATAAAAAACAACGGCAAGTTGCGCGGCGGGGGGGGGAGGGGGGCTCCTCCGCACCCTACGCCCCCCTATCGGCCTTGGATCCATATATTGCTTCACCACACATAAAACCCAACCGACAGCTACTTTCACATAGCAAAAAAATGTATATATGTAGTCGTTCATTTATTGCGAAACTCTTCGGCCATGTGCCTTTCTTAAACTAAAACAATATATTTTAATAAATAATTGAGAATATACATTCCTTCTTTTTTTTTTTCAAGTTGCGGGGGAGGGGAGCTCCACAACCCACCTAACCCCGTCAGCGTTGGATCCGTATCTTGCTTCACCACACACAAAACCCAACCAAAGCAACTTTCACATAGCAAACAAATATACGTGTAGTCGGTCATGGGTTGCAAAAGTCTACGTTCATGCACATTTCTAAAACTAAAACAATATATTCTAATAAATAGTTAAGAATATACATTTTTTTTTTTTTTTTTCCAAGTTGCATGGCAGGGTGCTCGGACTTGGATCCATATCTTGCTTCGCCACACACAAAAGCCAACGAAGAGCTACTTTCACATAGCAAAATGTACATGTAGTCATTTACAAATTGCAACACTCTACGTTCATGCACATTTCTTACACTAAAAAAATATATTCTAATAAATAGTTAAGCCACCAGTACTTGGCCCAACTATCTGCTGCGGAAAAAAACAGAGTAGAAACATTTCTAGTCAGATAAAATCGGGCACTCCTGTAGTGGCCCGTACGTTTCCTAAAACTGTGGCTTGTATACGAGCATGACTTAAGGAAGTACTGGTGGTTAAAGAATACTCCTCTCTTTTCTTTCCAGGTTGCCGGGTGGGGGGCTCCCCACCACCTCCCCCCCTCCCCCCCTCCCCTCACACCACCCCCTGCCCCAATCGGACTTGAATGAACACGCACACACACGCACCCTCTCATGCAAGCCACCTGCGCACACACACACACTCACGCGGACACACACACACGTGCGCAGACACTCACACACACACACACACACACACACACACACACACACACACACACACACACACACACACGCACACTCACGTGTACACACAGACACACACACAAACACACACACACACACACGCACATGCATGCGCTTGCGCCTCGCGCATTGACCCTTTTTTTTGTATATGATATTGATTGA